GACCTAGCTCCTTAAACTCCACGCCACCTGCTAGCCCCCCACTGGCTTGTTTTCCTTTAGGAGAGATTTTTGCTTTAGGATGTGTATACTCATGACAGAGAGGCAGAAAGTGCAATACCACCCCGGGGGGAGATGGCCACACTGCAATCCCTTCTCCATTCTCCTCTTGGGATTTGGGGCATGCACACACACGAGCCTGGTGTGAGTTTTGAGCCACAGGGTCCGGGACTGGAACTGTGGTCAACTACTTGGGAATCCAGTGCCGGAACCATTGTGCCATCTGCTGGTCCCCCACTGGTTCCTTTCTAATGACACCCCTCACCTGGGGATGAAGCAGGGCTGCTCGTGCCTTGGTTAGGAGCAGAATGGGCATGTTTGAGAGCGCCAGTGCTGGTCGCTGGTCCGGGGCCAACCCCAGGAAACAGGCACAGATGTGAACCCGATCAAAGGTCTGCCTGGAGCTAGTTGCCACGGTGGCATCAGAGCCCAGCCCTGATGTGCAGAGGCTAGGGGGCTGGGCTGCTGGGGTCCTCGGCTGAGAGCTGCTTCTGCAGTCAGGCACCCCTGCCCTGGGGCGAGAGGAGGGCACCCTGGTGTTCGCTGTAAGCAAAGCGGGTACCCAGGGGAAGGTGTGGGGCACACAGGGTCCTCTCTGTACGACTGGGTGACACTGTGGCACCCAGCCTCGCCCCTCCCCACCCTGCATGCTGTATGTCCAAAGCAGGTCTCAAGGCAGGACAGGCCCAGCCTGGGAGAGCCCAGGGCGCGGCTGGGGCAGGTGCTGGGGCCATGGCAGTGGGACCCTCCCCACCTCTCCCTCCAGATGAGCACCTGCTGTGACAAATGCACAAGCCTCCTGGTGTGGAGGTCCTGCAGCCTTCCAGGGAAGGGGCTCTGCTCCCTGGGGCAGACTCAAAGGGACCACAAGGAGGAAAGAGGGACCCAGCGGGGCGCCTGGCCTGGTGGCTTCCTGGGTCACGGCCTCCTAGCTCCTGGCCAGGCAGAAGAGCAAGCCACTGCACATCAGAGCTGATGGTGTCGTTGCCACGGAACCCCAAGATTTAACACCAAGGAGCAGGCTCTGCTGAGCGGGCGCTCTGTATAACCTGCCACTCTCGTGAGCACGTGGAGCAGTCACTTTCCCTGTGCCTGGGGCCTCTTACCCAAGAGCTTCCCAAGAGCTACTTACAACTGCACGCCATGCAGCTCCTGCAGGGAACCCTGGAGGCCCTGTCCTGGGGTGTAGCTCCCTGGAGGAAGGTGCCACTCGCCAGCCACGGACAGGGGTGCTGGCTGCACGGGGAGGGGCATTAGCGAGGCTTGGCAGTCACAGCTGGCTGCTGCAGTGTGGTGCCGTCGGCAGCGCCACCCGCTCTCCCGCCAGTGCCAACACTGGGGGATCCCCGCAGGCCGGCAGGGGGTTCCCCTGGGATTCCGTGTGGGTGCGGGGCTGGGAGTTGCGGTCACCTCTTGGGGAGTCGGGAGGTGTCTCTCGGGCGGCTCTTCCCCTGGGGCCAGCAGGACGTGGAGGCCCCTCTGGAACCAGGTGCTGAGGGCCAGGCGCACTGTGCGGGAGGACACGTGGGCTGGGAGGCTGGTCCCTGCAGCCAGCCTGGTGGCATCTTCGGCCAATGTTGGTGGGAGGTTTCTTGTCACCCTGGAGCGGCTTGTGCTCCAGGACCAACTAGGGGCCAGTGCAGCAGCCCCCAGAGCACCCAGGGTGACCAAGGGGTGGCGGCCCTGAGCCCGAGGCAGTGTCCCGGAGTGTGCTGGCCAGGGGAGGTGGCTGAGTAGGAGTCTGAGCTCCAACCCTCAGGTCAGAGGTCACCTGGGAACTGGCAGTGCCACGAGGTGCTGACGTGGGCCTGTGCCTCTGTGGGGTGCGACGAAGTGGATGGAACCAGCTGTGAGAATGCCAACAGGCCAGACGGTGGCCACTCTGATGGGCCGTTCTTGGCAAGAACATGTCTCTGGCCCTCCGGAAAGGGAGACCCTGTTTATCAACAAGGGCTAAAATACAGGGATGTGGTCATGAGTGCTGAGGGCCCGGGGACAAAAGCAGAGGACACTCATTCCCAGCTCCCCCACCTCCGTGGACTCACCCGTCACTTGTCACAGTCCTGCCAGGTTAGCCAGATTTTTTAAGGTCCTTTTAGAGTTTTTTGCCATAGGGTGTTTACACCCGAGAGGGAAAGCGAGAAATCAGCCCCCAGGGCATGGCTATACCGCAATCCCTTCTCCTCCATTCTCCTCTTGGGATCTTGGGGGCACACACACGCGCCTGGTGTGTGTTTCAAGCTGCTGAGTCTGGGACATTCGACGCAGCTGACCATACAGGATCCAATGCCTCAACCTCCACGCCACCTGCTGGCCTCAGGGTCGCCTGCTTTAGCCTGAAAGATTGACAGTTGTCACAGCACCAAAGGCGAGAGTCTGCTCTGGCTGCCACGCTCCGGGCATGGAGCTGTGAACAGGCTAAGAACACCCAACTGGGAATGCAGAGGGGCGCACCACGGTTTCGGGTGGAAGGCCTTGACTGGGGCAAGCCCGGAGTGTGTGCAAACCCTTCCTGTTCAGTTAGTGACGAATCCGTGCCTCCGTGTCTCACGGGCTGTTCGGTGACACGAATGCACTGTGTAAAGACACCGTAAAGACCGACACTGCTGTTTCTCCAAAATTTTTATTTTAATTTAAATTACAGGGCCAGCCAGATATTCTGATAAGAAATTCACTCTCCCCGGGAGGAGGAAATGCTTCCATGGCATTGTTAACTGTGGGCACCTCCACTTCTTCCAGGGTACAACTCGCACTGCGGAACTGCCTCACCAAGTGACACCTTCACGGCACTCAAAGGGCCACTTCCAGTGTAATGATTCGGGTAGCAGGAAACCTTAAATGACCGTAACTTCTGAAGCAACTTTTCAACTCTGAATGTTTTCACACTGTTTTGTTTAAAAACAAAACCCAGGCTGTCCTGACCACCTTCAGGTCCGACGCAACAGCAACACGATCCTCGGACAGGCTGCGCCCCTGGTGGGATGCTGCCGCGGGCACCGCTCGGGGGCTTACAGGCCTAAGGACTAGCTTGGCAAGGGGACGGTTCTCCCACTCGGGTCACTAATGCTGTCACGCCGAACCTGCGCACAGCACGAGACCACGAGAACCAGGACCAGCATAGCAACCTCCCGGCCGTGCCGGCCATGCCTGCCTTCCGGAACATCCGAGATGTTCTTTAAGATCAGACTG